CACACGCTCTTATATATATTGACGACAGTAATTCAATCTTCATCTTCATATTTGTTCAGTACTAGTATATATACCCATATCACACTTTATAGAGAGTCACTAACTTGATAAAATATTAATTACAAAATACTACAAATTAAATTATTTTAAAATAAATATGAGTTATTTAGAATTATATTTCTCATTTATTCTCCCTTTTGTATTTCTAGTATTCTTTTCTTTTCTTTTCTTTTCACTCTAATTTATCAACTTAAAGATAGAAAAGGAGAAGGGTTGAAAAAAAGGAGATTAGCCACTAGCAAGTTGGTTCGTAAATTCAAGGCCATCACAATTGAAGGCTTCAGTTTTAGGTTTTGGTCCATTTTGGAGTGAGTGAGTGAGTACGTAGCATAGGTCAGTTTTATACATTAAGATTTCAATATTATGATCGCATGAAAAGGAAAAAAAGTCTCAACGTGCCCACAAAACTTCCTTCAACGTCTATTATTTTGGTAGCTACCTAACACACTTATTTTATGTTTCATGGAACACCATGTTTGAACATATACAGTATCATAGTTTTTTTCTTTTCTTGGTTTCTCTTGTTGTTGGTGGGTTGTCGTATTAGGGAAATTGGATAAGAAGATGAGTCAAGACAAGTTTCATGAAATTTATTCACAGAATAATGGTGGAGGCATTATCTTAATAAGTAACGAAAGATGTTGATATTTTAAGATAAATTACTTTTGCATAATCAGATGTATATTTTTCCTATTTTATATATAATCATGAGAGAGATCAAGTAAAAAGCAAAGATTTCAGTTAAATGGACAATGTGAGAAGATAAAAATATTTTTATATTTCAAAATCTAATATATAATTTAGAGACCTGTGTTTAGTTTATCACTGGATATGGGCATTGAATAATGTTTACTTTGCTTTATAAAAAAACACAGACATAACGTCATTTTTAAAAGATTTATGTAATCACAAGTTTTTTTAATTAGAAGAGTGAGATTTTTTTTTTCTTTTAGAGATTTCAATTAGTTTTATCCATTTCTGGATGTTTGGCAATTGACAATTGCAGCTACACAATTAGCACATGGAGTTTGTCGTGTGTTTCTTGTATTTGGTTTATTTATTTGTGGTGCTTACCGTGTTTCTGTCACACGTCCGACAAAACAAATTACTCACAAGTCAGTTGCTAAATAATTGAATTTATTTTTTTTTTTTTTTTTTTTTTTCTAAGATGAATTGAAATTAGGCTATATGTTGTAGTCAACAGAAAAGAAATCATACAAATTTAATGATAAGATAAAAATGGCTTAATTTTGAAAAATACATCAATAAATGCACATAATTAAAATTTGAGGGATTATATTTGTGGATTTCAAATTATAGAAACAAACAGAATTAATTAAATGCAGAGATTTTTATTAGAATCATGTATTTCGATTATACTTTTGTTTACCTAGTTTTGACCTAATGTTCAATTAAACTAAACATTTAATACTTTTTAAGAAAGAATTACCATATTAATTTTCTTATATAGATTTAGCTTAAATAAATGTATAGAGGGAGATTTTGAAAAGTTTTATATGAAAAATGTTTAATTATTTTATTTAATTTATTTGTTGATATTTTAAACTTATGCATTGAATTAGGTGGGACGTAAAATCGAGTATTCTTACAATATTAAAATTATATAATATAAGAATGAATCTATTTTTATTTTTTAAAATATTGCTATCAATTTAAGAGGCAAAGAAATTAGTTTCTAAGGCAAGATATTGGATAAAGTGACATTTTTCACTAACAGCCCCGAATTTAATGGAATTATGTTTAGGTGATCGATTTTATATCTTCTCAAAAACATTTTAGTCTATTAATAAAATTACTTTTGAAAGAAAAAAATGTACGTGAAGTAGGTTGGTGGAGTTTTGTTTTGTTTTTTTTCTTTTATTCGAGAATGGTTAGATGAAGGAAAAAATAAATAAAAAATGAAATGATTAGTATTAAGAAAAGCATAGTTAAAAGTGACATTAAAATGACCATAATTCGTTTGATTGATTTAAAAGAATAAAACAATATATCAATTAGATAATTTAATAAATTATCACATTATATATATGTAGAGTTTAATAAAAATAATTAAAAATTGAAACTGAAAAATAGACAAATCTGAAATATTTGTTTTTTAAATTTGTAGATATTATTAGAGAAAATTTAAAAGTAGAATTTAAATTAGTTCCATAAGTATACATTTCTGTTTTCATGTACAAATTTTAAAAGTTCCACAAAATATAAAATATAAACATAATTGAAAATGAAACCTTTTTTCTCAATTCTTAACCAATATAATCATAATAATAGTAATTAAAAATAATATATTATAAAAATATATTTAATCATATTTCTTTTACTTTTTATTCATAAATTTATGAAAATATAACTCATGCATAAGAACATTTAATGAAAATATTAACATTCATATAATAGATACTTTATTTTATTTTTAAATTCAAATATTTATATTTGTTATACTAACTTTCTTGAGTTAGTATACCATACATAATTAAAATATATTATTTCATGTGACAGTTTAGTTTTATTATTTTTTTAAACTCATTTTTCTTTCGCACCTTACTCTAAATCAGTAGATTCATTACAATTTAATATAATATTTTCTGATTATAAATCACTATATTTACATTTAGACATCACCTGCATAATATGCATATAATCCACATAAATAAATCAGTTTGTCATTCTTGCATATCATTTTTTTATCTCATCAGAAAATATACATAAATACCTTCCAAAATTTCTTATATGTTTTCCTCTTAAGTATTTTCAGTTAAACAATTGAAATTTCACTTTAGATAAAATATTATCACATTTTATTCTACTAGCTATCAAAGCCCAAATTAATAAATCAAGCACAACATAACATAACATCCTAAGTGAAGGTAACGAAATGAATTAGACCTGAGTTATTTTAAATTGATGTATCAAATTGATAATTTATTTCATTAACCTATTTTTACTCGTTCCGGTTAGTCCAATAAAAAAACAAAGATGAGAGACCGGCTCACCCACTAATTTTTTTTCCTAAAGATTATGATTAATTCAACCATTCAAAATGAGTTAAAAGTAAGGTTCAACCCGTAGAAATGAAAAATTTAGTAAAATATGTTTTGAAGCATTATTCATTATTATGGAACATATTTCGTTTTGAAAATTATGTTTCGAATAAAATAAATAAATAAAAACTCCAGGATTTGATTGCGTATTCCTATTCCTTGGTTACTCCTGTTTTATTAAGCAATTAATGATGAGAAAGATAATGATAAAATATTTATTTTGGTATCTTCGAGAAGAAATGCCCTGCACTACAATTTACTAAATTCCTTATTTAATAAAAGTATACTACTAGTATTTAGGTTTTGGAGTGACAGTTAGATCCGTGTCTAGTCACGCAAATTCCCTACAAACTTCATTAACAGCATTTAAAGACAAGTTTCTTTTTGAGATAATTAAGGACTAAAATCACAATCCAAAGAGAAACAAAATGCTTTAAATCATTTTTCTCATTCAAAACAAGATGAAATGAGAAGAAAATAAGAGGTTGAATATTTCTTATTTGTTTTCTGTACCTCTTTTAACATTGTTTAGATTTCATCTCGAATCTACGTTGTTAAAATTTATTCATTTTTTCACTCTTTAAATTTATTATTAATTTAATTTATTGCGTATTATAATTAATTTTAATTTTATAAAATTAAGTTTTAATATATTTTATTAGCTTTTCTACTAGTTGTGTTATTAAATTTATAATATGTTATTAATTTATTAATTTTATTCACCGAATATTTTTTTTCGCAAATTTTACTACTTTTGTTTTTATTTTTATTACATTTCTATGAAATTTCTAGTGAAGTGATGTTGTGTAAGAAAAAGCAAATAATGTCATTTTGATACCAGTGTTTTTTTATAATGTTTTTTTTTTTTCATTGCAGTTTTTTTTTAGAATTTTGGTATAAAGGTTAACTTGTATAAATTAATATTTGATGATAAAATATATAATTAAGTGTATATTTTATTACTATTCATTTAATGCTATTAGTTAGTCTGAATAGTGATGAACTTAATCGTTTTAAATAATTAATTATGCGGCTTCAAACTACTGTATTTAGAATGTTGGTTAAAGTTTTAAGAGAATAAGTAATATTTTTATATAATGTATTAAGAATAATTAAATTTTATTCAAAATTTGAATATGAATACGGGATACAAGCACCCTACCAACCAAGGAGAATTTCATGTTCTCTAATGAGATCTGCCTCGGTGGACTATTGGAAATATTTTTAATAGAAACATTTATTAAAAATATAACAAAAATGTTAACCATTTTAAAAATTATTTTATTAATAAAAATTAATTAATAATATAATTTTGTAATTGAACTAATGTTTAACTTTAATTTAGTTATTTAATTTTCCATACTTTTTTTACTTTGTTACCAAACGACCCTAAGAAATTCTTATAAAATGGGTACATAAATTAGCAGTGTTGAAAATTTAAAAGAATACATTTAACTTTTAGGTAAATGGTTTAACATTTATTAAGTATGAAATCAATGGATATAATGAAATAAAAACTCAAACTATTGGAATAATGAAATTATGACTTAAAATAATTCGTAAATAAATGTTGATAGAGTGAATCATTAATATGAGATAAAACATTGGAAAGCATACTTATATCCATATAAAAAAGTGTGTTGTGAAGTCTGTGAAGGTGACGAATCTACTTTTCTTTTGTTTCTGCCTTTCTCGGGGTGGTGTGCGCGTGTCCATCTATCAAACGGCAACTACCTCCTTCCTACTATCTACCCCCACGCTCTTTCAATGCTAGCCGCCCTTCTTCTATTTATATATAAACTCTTGTCTTCTTTTCTTCCCATTCCCTAACTCTTCAATTCATACACACATACAATAAAACTCGTCAATTCATTCACCATGGCCCCTTCCTTCGACACAACCACTCACACAGTTTGCGTCATGGACGCTTCCGGCCACCTCGGCTTCACCCTCGTCCAGAGACTCCTCCAAAGGGGCTACAACGTCCATGCCTCTGTCCAAAAATATGGTAATCAATTCAATCAATCACCTCTTTAATTCTTCATGCTATGCTTCTTTCCTTCCAATTCAATTTCAACTTTATTTCCTCTCGGATCGTTTCTCAGGCCACGAAGACCTATTCAATGGGATTTCCACTGATCCTAATAAGCTCAAGGTTTTTCGATCTGATCCATTTGATTACCATAGCATAATCGACGCACTCCGAGGCTGCTCTGGTTTGTTCTACACCTTCGAACCTCCCCATGACCAACCAAATTATGATGTAAGCACTTTCTTCTTCTTCTCTCTTTATATCTTCACACACACAAAATATCTCGCTTTATTTAAATAGAACCTATGAAACTCAACTGAGAGATTTGGAATATTCCTCATCCTAGATATATATCAGCTAGCCTCGCAATTGAAAAAAATATACATATATGTATTGAAAGAGTTAATCCACTAGCCTTTTGCTGGCATGTCTATTGGGTGAGAAATACAAGAGTTTTGTTTACGTTAATGTAAAGTAACTCGATTTATGGGTGAATTTGTTAGGCACAATTTGCCTGATTTTTTAGTGGGTACTAACATTACCCTACTTCTGTGTGGGTTACTTACTTAACTCCATGACACCCCAGGAGTGGTTACTCCAATTAATTTAGTTTGAAGTTTTTAGTTAATTCATAAGGTCAATTATTAATCTGTAATCAATAATAACAAATAGTTTTGAATCGGTTAACCTTTTCCATCATTTAATAATTCATTCATGTGTCGTAATCATTTGTGGTGGTAAGTTTTCAACCATGTGATTGTTTGCTTATCTCGTCAATTTCATGATCTTACCAACATTTTATTCCTAAAATATCGGCAATCATGATGAAAAATACTAATATTGAAAGGTTTACACGTAATGTGGAACTCAAATACAATGGTTCAAATCTTGATAATATAAATTTAATTTCTAAAGAATATTATATATATATATATATATATATATTTATTTGCATTATCTTATCAGAACCTTGTTGTCCAGAAATTATATATTTTTTAGGACATCTATTCCAAAACAACCTGAATAAAAGAAAGTTGAGTTCCAATTTTTTTGTCCCATGTATTTAATTTATGTTATGCATTTTTTTGGAAAGTCTATTGAGAAAAAGTAAAACCTGTTGGCAGAAAACTTATTACGATTTAATTGTTTGCAGAGTTGACAAAACGCGTTGGAAGACTATTTTTTATTGGGGAAAAATTTAGGTGTTTATTACAACTGTATCAGTAGTTTTAAAACCCTGTGAAGTTTAATGGTTTTTATACGTTCTCATTAGAAAGCATTTAATTCAGTTTTTGAAAGTAGTAAATTTAGTTTGAAAAATGTGCCAGATCAGAACTGATATGTGGTATTGGAAACGTACAGGAATTCATTGCAGACGTGGAAGTAAGAGCTGCACACAACGTGCTCGAAGCCTGTGCACAGACAGAAACAATAGATAAAGTGGTTTTCACTTCCTCAGCAACCGCAGTGGTTTGGAGAGAGGATCGCAAGAACATTGAACTGGATCTAGACGAAAGACATTGGAGTGATGTAAATTTTTGTCGCAAATTCAAGGTATATATATAACAACACCCGAATGCAATTATCCGATCCAAGAATTTTACAATTTTTTTTTCTTGAGCAGATTTTATGTTATTTTGTTTAATCATTTTAAAGTTTTTGATGTAAGTTTTGTTTTAATATGTTACAAAATTGATAGATACTGTAGTAAGTAACAGTGAGTTGAAAGGGGACCTGGGGTGTCAAGAAAATGACGAAAGTGATTAAATGGTTGTGTTGTACAGTTATGGCATGGCGTGTCGAAGACAATGTCTGAGAAAAGTGCGTGGGCCTTGGCAATGGACAGAGGAGTGAATATGGTGTCCATAAACGCAGGATTATTGATGGCTCATGATCTCTCCATCCAACATCCTTACCTCAGAGGAGCCGCTGAGATGTACGAGGATGGTGTTTTCGTGACCGTTGATTTACATTTCTTGGTGGATGCCCACATATGCGTCTACGAGGATGTCTCATCCTACGGTCGTTATTTGTGCTTCAATCGCATCATCAACACCCACGACGACGCTGTTCAACTAGCGCGCAAGTTGACCCCTGCTGCTTCCTCCTCCGCGCCGCAAAGGTCAGAGGGCGTTTTTGGTCATTTTGACTTTTCTTTTCCTTTGAATTCTGACTCTTGACATATTCAATCTTTTTATTGTCTGCAGTGACGACCACGGTAAGGGTTTTATCGAACAGAAAATTAGCAACAAAAAGTTAAATAAATTGATGGTGAACTTCGAGGCTTGATTGATGAATCCAACGGTGATTAAAGCGGTCACTTTAGTTGTTGTTCTGCGGGAAAGTATGTGTGCAAAAAATGTTACAAAAATTTGTAACTATACCCCCCATATGCTTATTATTACCATATACGCCACAACAAATTAATGTATTTTCAGTCAAATAATTATTTCTTTATTTATTTTAATATTAGATAATGGGAAATAATTGCCTATTTTTAAATTTTCTTTGTCTCATATGCCATTCAAATTTCGACTGTGTCAGAAGGTTGTTTGTAAAACAATTTAATAAAACTCGATACAATCAATCCAACCAAAAAAATCGAAAACTAAATGCTTTATTTGAAATTTCATTTTTCTATTCAATTGAATACTAGTATGTTTTAAAAATTAATTCAATAGCATCCAAACCAAAATTTTATACAGTTATATATTTTCATTCGTAAATTTTTAACCAAATTACAAATGGTTATATTTTTATTTCTCTCTATATATATTTTATACTTATTCATTAAAAAATATACTTATTAAGGATGTTTTTCTACTAACTATTTGAGTGAAGATTTCAAATTTAAAGTGTAAGTGTATGTTTCGATATTATATATATTAAAAAAATATAAAAAGTTATACTATTATTATTTATATAATGACCTGAAAATTGAATATTATTTTTTAAATTATGTTTATTATATATATTTGTTAATATTTCCTATATAAATTGAAATAAAAATATCCAGTCCAATTTTTTTTAATCGGACCATGTCAATTTAACATTGTTAATCACATTAATTGATGATGAATTAAAAAACTCATCCTAGAATTGAAATAATTAAATGACTTTTTTTTTCTTAAAAATATATAGAATTTGTACTGAATGGAAAGGTTATCCTTCCATGCATTAGGAGCACTATCAAAATCCCTAATTCAATCTCTTCACTTCTATGTACGAGGTTAGAGGTTGTGTATTATTAAGGTTGTCTCTTCCATTTATTTGAGGCATTACTCAAGTCATTAGTTTTTATATACAGTTAGAAGGTTGTCTATCGTCAAGATTAATGTTTTGTTTGGCTTGATGAGAGATGTCGGAGTGGAAAAGGTAAAAATAAAAAAAATAAAAAAAAATTGATAGAAACTGTGATTGTTTAGATTAAAAGAAATGAGTGAAAAATTAAATTAAATTATTTATTATTAATAATTTTTTAATTATTTATTATAATAAGAAAAATAAAATATATTATTACTTTTTTTAACATAATCTATTATGTCTTACATATACTCGATTATATATAAGGAATAATTAATTATGTAAAAAAAAATCATTTTTTTCTCTTATGCGAAGTTGAATTTTTACTTCTAATTTATATATATTTTTTATATTACAATACGTAAAATCATTGTATTACTTTGCCCTTCTGTCGGAAACAAACGGAGTCTAAGGGTCAATTTATCGCTCTTCCGTTGAGTACTTCAAAGGATTACTCCGCGTGAAGGAGTAAATGCAATCATAATAGTCCTTTTTAAATTATAGAATAAATCTCGTTAGAAATCACCAACAAATCAACCAAGGAAAATCTATTAAATTGTATCCAACAATGAAGGGTTAGATTCGTTGTTGTTGTTATTATATATTTTTTTTATCATCCAAAAAACAGATTTGCTAAATGTTCCGATTGAAAATATAAAAGAAGACTCTTTACTAGAAAATAAAAAATATCCAATTAGTTTTCATTTGTTTGGATTGATTCAAATTTTTATTGTTTTCTAGATAATTAAAATATACTTTAAGAAAAATGAAAAATATATAAATATATAATTTAGTAGGTAAAAATAATATAGCATTTCTTTTATTTTGTTCCTACCAAAAATTTTAAATTTCAAACATAATAATTAATATTAAAAAAATATTATTAGTTTGTTAAGATTTATTAAATTCAAAAATATAATACACAAGTTATTTATTATTAAATTTAATTGTTTAAATTATATTGATTTGAGTTAAAAAAATCGGATTAATCCAACTCAATCAACATATTTAGTATTCTTATTAAATACAACATTTTTTGTTGGGTTTTTTTACTAAAATAAAAGTAGAAGGAAATAACTATATTTTTAAGAAAAACATGTAGAAAAATTTTGTGAAAAGGCGTATTTATTCATTTAAAGAAAAAATAAGATGCAAATAATTTTAAAAAAGAGATGTTTATTTTGATAGAATTAAAATGACATTGATATTTTTTTTTTTGGAAAAGAGATAATTAGAATTTAATAAGAGAGAATAAATATTGAATTTTTATTTTTATTTTGTGTATACAAGTGAAATTACACATGCATGTTTAGTTTTTAGTTATAGAGAGCAACTTAACAGTGGAAACAATGAATGAGATCACATGGGAGGCCTTAACAGTGAAGAAAACCAACTAAGGCTTAGCTGGATTATAAATTGAAGTGGGTGGGCAGAGAGATTGAATAAGCAGGGTGGAGTGAAGAATAACAACGCTAAGCCTATGCTTCCATAAATGCAATAGTGATCTGCAAGGAATTCAGATTGTCACACCTCCACTATGCACCGTCAGTCTCATCTTCTTTATCACCTCTGCTATTCAGATTGCGACACCTCTACTATTGCAAGCTTCAACTAAGTTTTTTTTTTTTTTTTTACTATAATTTATTTTAAAAAAATATATCAATCAGTTTAAATTATTATAATTTTATTTTTAAAGAGATGATTTTAATATATATAAAAAAATAATGAAATCTTAAAAATGTAGAAATAACAAATTGAGACATATCTTCACCTATCTTCTCAGTACTCACGTGTTTTTCAATAATTTCAAACTTTATTTTTATTAAAAATTATAATAATAAATAATTTCAGATAAATAGATTTGGATGATTATTATTTTAAAATTTATTGGACCAAGTTCTGTTGGATGTTGAAAATGAAAAAAATTCTATTTATGAAGACGCTCTTTTACTTAATTCAGTATAAAAAAATAAGAATAATAATAAAAAATATATACAAAGAATCAGTTTATTTATGTGATTTTATTAAAGTATATTAAATAATAAATTATATTTGTTTATTGTAATTAAATAATTAAATATTATGAATTTGAGAATTTAGACAAATATACAAAATTTTAAACTCAAAATTTAACTATAATATATTTGTAAACGAATAAATGAATTAAGTAAGTTTTATTTATGAAAATTTATAAGAATTATGGTGACCTTGGTATGCAATTTATCCTAACAATTTAAAGTATTATTAAAGTCTATGTAAATATATTATGTTTGTTCAATTTAGAGTTATTATCAAATTATTTAAAGTAAAACATTTTTTAAAAGAACAATCAAATTCAAATAGTCTATATTTGTGATTAAGTATTATGATGAACTATTATTTAATATAATGATATGTTCAAATGGCACATTTTGAATAATTGTTATAACACAATAATATGCTCACATAATTATATAATTTAAATGAATATATCTCAGATAAAATCTAACTCGATACGATTTGAATATATAATTGAGATGAAAACATAATTGAGTGTTTTAATGTATTATTGGAGATAAAACTAAATTAGAGGTGTCAATATAGATTGTAACCCGTGAGTCAACTTGACACACCATGAGTTCAAACAGGTTGAGTTTGATTTTTTTTTTCATTTCTTTTAATTATGGATTAAAATGAACCCGACTCACTTAAATCACGAGTTAAACGGATTCGAGTCAGGTTATGGGGGATTGACCCACAACCTATAATTTATTTTAAATTGAAAAAATAATTATAATAATTTAATAATCTAATTGATGTTATGCTATCTCACTACCTATATTTCATGTTGCTACTATAAGTCAAACTCTCACTCAAACTTATCATCAATTGTTAGCTGCACCATTGCATTTGTCATTACACTTAGGTTGTTTGTCATCATTTTATCGCAGCACTACGGCAGTGCGTCCATTGCATTTGTTGTGCCACCTCATTTCAGTTGCGTCATAGTATTTGTCGCATTTCAGTGCCACATTTTTAATCGTGTCACAACGTTTGTCGTGATATCGCATCACAATGTTTCAGTCGCACTACAACGTTTGTCGCACCACTGCATTCGTCGCACCATCACGTTATTGTATTTCAGTTATACGATAGTGTTTGACATGTTTTAATCGCGTAACAACGTTTATTGTGTCAGCATGTCATTTGGATTTCAGTCACGCGATTCACTTATTAGAAAAAAGTGAATAACAACAAATAAATGTGAGTTAGTGAGACAATCCACTTAACCCACCAACCCATAGTAGATTGAGGTGAATTATGAAATTTATGACTCACCATAAAGTACGTCAAGTTGAATGTCTATTTTGAGCTCAGCCCGTGGTGAACCAATCCATATAAACTAGGTTAGCTTACATTAACACCTCTAAGATAACTTAACTCTTCATAGTGTTTAAGATGAGCTACAAAGACCCTGTGATATTAGCTTTTGCCTATAAATTTGATGAGTTGTGGCAACTTCATCCTTTAAACACTTGATCATGCTAGGTGAAAATATTGATGTGTTGTGAAAGTTAGGTTTAGTGATAATGATGTGTTGCAGTAACTATGTCTAACTATATGGATTGTAACCCGTGAGTCAACCTGACACACCATGGGTTCAAACAGGTTGAGTTTGATTTTTTTTTTTCATTTCTATTAATTATGGATTAAAATGAGCCCACTTACAATTTATTTTAAATTGAAGAAATAATTATAATAATTTAATAATCTAATTGATGTTATGTTATCTCACACTAGTATAGAAATCACTTTTAACATCGGACTTTCCTCATCGGTTCTTAAAGAACCACATCGGTTTAGTTGGGAACCGATATATACATCATATTAAGAAATTGTCAGCGACAGGATTCAAAACTAATACCTTGGAGTTGGATGTTGATACTCCAACCACTAAGTCTGCTAGAATTTTTTAATAAAAACTTACAAATAAATTATATTTATATACAAATAAATGTATATCCATGTAAATATATAAATACAAATATATTTATATATTTTGATATATTTATATATTTTGATATATTTATATAGTTATATATTTACATATTTATATATTGGATGTCGAGGTCGCGCTTGAGGGTAAAAATGTGTTGTGTCAAGTGGGTTTTCAAAATTTGATGTCAAATTTATGAGCGAGTCTCTTATATGAAATTGTAATTTAATGATAGAATATAATCTTTATAATTAATTTATATAATGATATAAAATAAAGAACAATATTATTTTATATCATTATATAAATAAATTATAAAGATTATATTCTGTCATTAAATTATAAACTCATATAAAGAGACTCACTCACAAATTTGACATCAAATTTTTAAAATCTACTCGACACACACTTTCACCCTCGAGCGCACCCTCATATCCAACATATAAATATATTTGTATTTATATATTTTAAATTTATATATTTATATGAATATACATTTTTATTTGTATATAAATATAATTTATTTATAAGTAATTATCATAAAGTCCTAATAGCTTAGTGGTTGGAGTATCACCTTCCAACTCTAAGGTACTAGGTTTGAATCTTGCCGATGACAATTCTCTTAATCTAATAAAATAATTCAAATTTTAAAAAAATATAATAAGGGTAGAGGGTATTATAATTAGATAAATAGAGAGGGTGTTTGTTGTGCCACCTCATTTCGGTTGCGTCACACTATTTGTCACTACCACTGCATTCGTGGTATTATAATTAGATAAATAGACTTATATTTCATGTTGCCACTACAAGTCAAACTACCAAACTTCTTCTCTTTCCCTAACTTCTTCTCCATCCAAACCATTTTATCCTTTCATAATATCTTATCCAGTCCATGACTTCTTCTCCTTCCTTGACTTCTTCACCATCCATAATAATCATCTCTCCCTCCTTAACTTTCTCCCCATCCATAATTTCTTCTTTATCCTTGACTTCTTCTCCATTCAAAACTTCTTCTTCTTCCCTAACTTCTTCTCCTTCCTTCACTTCTTCCCCATCCTTAACTTCTTCTCCATCCTTAACTCCTTCTTTTGCTTCCTTAACTTCTTCATCTACATCCAAACCAGCTTCTCCTTCCATAACATCTTCTCCGTCCATGACTTCTTCTCCTTCCTTGACCTCATTTCAGTTGTGTCACACTATTTGTCACTACCACTGCATTCGTGGTATTATAATTAGATAAATAGACCTATATTTCATGTTGCCACTACAAGTTAAACTACCAAACTTCTTCTCCTTTTTTAACTTCTTCTCTTTCCCTAACTTCTTCTCCATCCAAACCATTTTATCCTTTTATAATATCTTATCCGTCCATGACTTCTTCTCCTTCCTTGACTTCTTCACCATCCATAATAATCATCTCTCCCTCCTTAACTTCCTCCCCATCCATAATTTCTTCTTTATCCTTGACTTCTTCTCCATTCAAAACTTCTTCTTCTTTCCTAACTTCTTCTCCATCCTTAACTTCTTCCCCATCCTTAACTTCTTCTCCATCCTTAACTCCTTCTTTTGCTTCCTTAACTTCTTCATCTACATCCAAACCAGCTTCTCCTTCCATAACATCTTCTCCGTCCATGACTTCTTCTCCTTCCTTGACTTCTTCTCCTTCCTTGACCTCATTACAGTTGCGTCACACTATTTGTCACTACCACTGCATTCGTGGTATTATAATTAGATAAATAGACATATATTTCATGTTGCCACTACAAGTCAAACTACCAAACTTCTTCTCTTTCCCTAACTTCTTCTCCATCCAAACCATTTTATCCTTTCATAATATCTTCTCCGTCCATGACTTCTTCTCCTTCCTTGACTTCTTCACCATCCATAATAATCATCTCTCCCTCCTTAACTTCCTCCCCATCCATAATTTCTTCTTTATCCTTGACTTCTTCTCCATTCAAAACTTCTTCTTCTTCCCTAACTTCTTCTCCTTCCTTCACTTCTTCCCCATCTTTAACTCCTTCTTTTGCTTCCTTAACTTCTTCATCTACATCCAAACCAGACTTCTCCTTCCATAACATCTTCTCCAGTCCATGACTTCTTCTCCTTCCTTGACTTCTTCTCCTTCCTTGACCTCATTTCGGTTGCATCACACTATTTGTCACTACCACTCGCATTCGTGGTATTATAATTAGATAAATAGACATATATTTCATGTTGCCACTACAAGTCAAACTACCAAACTTCTTCTCTTTCCCTAACTTCTTCTCCATCCAAACCATTTTATCCTTTCATAATATCTTCTCCGTCCATGACTTCTTCTCCTTCCTTGACTTCTTCACCATCCATAATAATCATCTCTCCCTCCTTAACTTCCTCCCCATCCATAATTTCTTCTTTATCCTTGACTTCTTCTCCATTCAAAACTTCTTCTTCTTCCCTAACTTCTTCTCCTTCCTTCACTTCTTCCCCATCCTTAACTCCTTCTTTTGCTTCCTTAACTTCTTCATCTACATCCAAACCAGCTTCTCCTTCCATAACATCTTCTCCGTCCATGACTTCTTCTCCTTCCTTGACTTCTTCTCCTTCCTTGACCTCATTTCAGTTGCGTCACACTATTTGTCACTACCACTGCATTCGTGGTATTATAATTAGATAAATAGACATATATTTCATGTTGCCACTACAAGTCAAACTACCAAACTTCTTCTCTTTCCCTAACTTCTTCTCCATCCAAACCATTTTATCCTTTCATAATATCTTCTCCGTCCATGACTTCTTCTCCTTCCTTGACTTCTTCACCATCCATAATAATCATCTCTCCCTCCTTAACTTCCTCCCCATCCATAATTTCTTCTTTATCCTTGACTTCTTCTCCATTCAAAACTTCTTCTTCTTCCCTAACTTCTTCTCCTTCCTTCACTTCTTCCCCATCCTTAACTCCTTCTTTTGCTTCCTTAACTTCTTCATCTACATCCAAACCAGCTTCTCCTTCCATAACATCTTCTCCGTCCATGACTTCTTCTCCTTCCTTGACTTCTTCTCCTTCCTTGACCTCATTTCAGTTGCGTCACACTATTTGTCACTACCACTGCATTCGTGGTATTATAATTAGATAAATAGACCTATATTTCATGTTGCCACTACAAGTCAAACTACCAAACTTCTTCTCCTTTTTTAACTTCTTCTCTTTCCCTAACTTCTTCTCCATCTAAACCATTTTATCCTTTCATAATATCTTCTCCGTCCATGACTTCTTCTCCTTCCTTGACTTCTTCACCATCCATAATAATCATCTCTCCCTCCTTAACTTCCTCCCCATCCATAATTTCTTCTTTATCCTTGACTTCTTCTCCATTCAAAACTTCTTCTTCTTCCCTAACTTCTTCTCCTTCCTTCACTTCTTCCCCATCCTTAACTTCTTCTTTTGCTTCCTTAATTTCTTCATCTACATCCAAACCAACTTCTCCTTCCATAACATCTTCTCCGTCCATGACTTCTTCTCCTTCCTTGACTTCTTCTCCTTCCTTGACCTCATTTCAGTTGCGTCACACTATTTGTCACTACCACTGCATTCGTGGTATTATAATTAGATAAATAGACCTATATTTCATGTTGCCACTACAAGTCAAACTACCAAACTTCTTCTCCTTTTTTAACTTCTTCTCTTTCCCTAACTTCTTCTCCATCCAAACCATTTTATCCTTTCATAATATCTTATCCGTCCATGACTTCTTCTCCTTCCTTGACTTCTTCACCATCCATAATAATCATCTCTCCCTCCTTAACTTCCTCCCCATCCATAATTTCTTCTTTATCCTTGACTTCTTCTCCATTCAAAACTTCTTCTTCTTCCCTAACTTCTTCTCCTTCCTTCACTTCTTCCCCATCCTTAACTTCTTCTCCATCCTTAACTCCTTCTTTTGCTTCCTTAACTTCTTCATCTACATCCAAACCAGCTTCTCCTTCCATAACATCTTCTCCGTCCATGACTTCTTCTCCTTCCTTGACTTCTTCTCCATCCATAATAATCATCTCTCCCTGCTCAACTTCTTCCCCATCCATAATTTCTTCTTTATCCTTGACTTCTTTTCCATCCAAAACTTCTTCGTCTTCCCTAACTTCTTCTCCTTCCTTCACTTCTTCCTCATCCCAAACTATTTCTCCATCCTTAACTTATTCTCTTTCCCTAACTTTTTCTCCATCCTTAACTCCTTCTTCTCCTTCCTTAACTTCTTCATCTACATCCCAAATTTCTTCTCCATCCTTAACTTATACTCCATCCATAACTTCTTCTCCTTCCTTAACTTCTTCTTCCTCCTTGATATCTTCTCCAAACTTAAATTCTTCTCCATCCCAAACTTCTTCTCCTTCTTTAACTTCCTCTCTTTCCCTAACTTCTTCTCCTTCCTTAACTTCTTCTCCATCCAAACCATCTTCTCCTTCCATAACATCTTCTCCGTCCATGACTTCTTCTCCTTCCTTGACTTCTTCTCCATCCATAATAATCATCTCTCCCTCCTTAGCTTTTTGCCCATCCATAATTTCTTCTTTATCTTTGACTTCTTCTCCATCCAAAACTTCTTCTTCTTCCCTAACTTCTTCTCCTTCCTTCACTTCTTCCCCATCCCAAACTATTTCCCCATCCTTAACTTCTTCTCCTTCCCTAACTTCTTCTCCATCCTTAACTCCTTCTTCTCCTTCCTTAACTTCATCTACATCCCAAATTTCTTCTTCATCCTTAACTTATACTCCATCCATAACTTCTTTTCCTTCCTTAACTTCTTCTTCCTCCTTGATTTCTTCTCCATACTTAAATTCTTCTCCATTTCAAACTTCTTCTCCATCCCAAACTTCTTCTTCATCCTTAACTTCTTCTCCTTCTTTAACTTCCTCTCTTTCCCTAACTTCTTCTCCTTCCCTAACTTCTTCTCCTTCCTTAACTTTGTCTCCATCCAAACCATCTTCTTCTTATATAACATCTTCTCCGTCTATGACTTCTTCTCCTTCCTTAACTTCGTCTTCCTCCAGACCATCTTCTCCTTATATAACCATCTTCTCCGTTACAATCCACCTAACCCACCAACCCATAGTGGGTTCAACCAAATTATGAAATTTATGACTCACCATAAAGTAAGTCAAGTTGAATGCCTATTTTGCGCTCAACCCATGGTGAGCCAATCTATATAAATTAGGTTAGCTTACTTTAACACGTCTAAGATAAATTAATTCTTCATATATTTTAAGATGAGCTACAAAGATCCTCTAATATTAGCTTTTGCTTATAAATTTGATGAGTTGTGGCAACTTCATCCTTTAAACACTTGATCATGCTAGGTGAAAATATTGATGTATTGTGATAGTTAGGTTTAGTGATAATGATGTGTTGCAGTGACTATGTCTAACGAATTAAAATATTGATGATTGAATTTACCTTTTTAGTGTGGTTACTGACACACTTATATGTTTGATGATCATTTTCTTAAATAACTTTCTAGCTTATATGCCCCGTTCAATAATGAGTTAATTATACGGACCGTCCAAATTTGGAACAAACTTGAATTTTCTTTCGATTTCTCCTACTTTTCTATAAATAGTCAAATATTTTGTATTGAGTGAAATATTTGTCCACAATATTATATAATATCAAATAAACATTGAACAATTATTTATATCATATTTGATTATATAAGATAATATTGAAATTATATCAATATTAAAATGATAAAGTTTAGTCAACCGCAACATCATTTATTTTTGGTAATAAATGATCTATAAAACTACAAATATATTTGAATTTGTAATTTTAATATTTTATGGTGATAAATTGGAAATAATTTGTGAAGCCTAATACATTTGACATATAATATTATTATGAAATTTAATAATATAATCATTGATAATATTATATATAATAAAAAATGAATATTTTCTCTTAATAAATATATTTTTTTATATGAAATTAAATTAATGATATTTATAATTTTACATCATGCAACCATAGTTTGCATGCCTAATAAAATAATAATAATAAGAATAATTAATATTTATCTCGAGCAAAATAGGTCATTATATTTCCTTGTATCTCTCGTTGTCATTTCTAAATTTAAATAATAAGAATTAAGGACATGTATTTCAAGAAAAATATATCATTATATATTCATGCATATCCCATTATCATTTAAATTTATATTTTGTGTGTCAATATAAGAAGGGAGAGTGAGAAATATGTATCTTAAGAAAATAGAAAATCGATATATCCTATATTATGCATCTAATTATATATGATACACAATAATAATATTATTATGTGAGTATTTTGAAGAAGTTATCTCAACTAAGATATTTGTATGGTGACTTATTATAAAATAAAATATTTATGATGCAATGTTTTATACAACATCATGAGACAACATAATACATATGACTTATAAGATAATTTTTAAATCACAAAATTTGTAAGAGTAATTGAATAAAAAAAGAAGAAAAAAATAGTTCTATATGCGAACATTCCTTGAACTTTTATGAAAATAAAGTTTTACAATTTTATGCAAATTTACAAACATGACATTGAAAACTATAAATATCATATTTTCTCTTCTTAGTTTAAATTAATTGACAGTAAACAAAGTGACAAATAAGTCATAAGAGTCTCCTATATCAAGTAAGTAAAAAAAATTATTATTGAGAGAATTTAAACCCAATACCTTAAAATTGGAGACTAATACTTCAATCACTAAACAACTAGAATTTTCTAATAATAATTTACAAATAAATTATATTTATATACATATAAATTTATATCCGTGTAAATATATAAATATATAAATATATTAATATATAAATACAAATATATTTATATATTTTGATATATTTTAATATATTTATATATTTTGATATATTTATATATTTTAGATATTTATTTTTTTTAATTGAATGTTGATTTTTAAAAATATTTTAAATTCGTTAGTAATGTCCGTGAGTAATTAATTTTTAATTTATCTATAGATATATGTGTCGGTAACTAATTGTTAATTTACCGACGGATATATCCGTTAATAATTAATGATTTTTTTTGTAATAATTTAAGCTTGGTGTGACTCACCAATTATTTTGTATAATATAAGTTTTTCATGGTACCTAATACATTATTTTTTATGAATATCTTGAAAATAGACATAATTTTGCCAACAAATTGGCATATAGGATAAAATTATTTTATTTGACAAATAGATAAAATATTAAAGTTTAAAGAAGAAAGAAACAAAACCGAAATCAATATGTGAATGACAAACAAGATTTAAATATTTTTCTCTAATAATTTGCATTTTATTTTCATTTATAGTAGAAATTTTTTGTGTATATAATTAACCTTTCTAAGATTAAATATCATATTTTTGTGTTGTTACATTATGAACAATTCATATATATGAAAAATATTATTAAAATTACCATTATCATTCATAATTATAACTAGTACACCTTTTTTTTTCATTTTGTTGATAGTAAAGATCTCTTTTTTTTTTTTTTACATTTTATCTCATTTTTTATCATAAAATACTTTTGATGGAGTATTCATTTTTTTTGTTTTTAAAATTAAATAAGAGATACAATTATTCTCTTTTTTATGTAGTAAATTTCATTTTCTTTTGTTAAATGTTTCAAATTATTTAAGATATAAATAATCATCATCCATCTATTGTTAACTTAAAAAATAAATTGAAATATATATTAATTTTTCCAATAAAAACTATTATTCCTTTAATTTTAAAAATTGATAGATGATTTAAAAAAAATAAAACTTCTAATTTATATGGGTAGAAAAAGTTGTTGGGTTATTGGGCTCCCTTCCTATGTGGAGAATAGGCCCAAATAGTGTGGTCCATTATGTCTCATTTGGGTAAAATGAGATGGGTCGATTAGTAGAGGACAAGAGAGTCATTTGAAAAAAGACAAAAAGTCTAGTGAGAGAAAAAGAAGAGAGAAAGTCATCTCCGCATAACCCTAAATCTGCACTGGTGTTTTCGTCGCTGTGAAGTCGTTCACCGTTGGATCGAGCTGATTTTTGGATAGTAGGTTCCAGACATATGGTTCTTCATTCTGACCGTTCGGATCGTCAATCGAAGGTCTAGATTGGGAGAAATTGGTCCCGCACCAGCAGCCCTGTTTTGGAGATTTTTCATCTTCTTTGTTTCTCTTTTGTAAGCATTTGTGCTCAGTTAATTCTCGCTTATTGAAAATACCTTTTGGTATTATTATTGGAGACTCTTGTGTACCCCATTATTGATCATAGTGGATTTTTCTTTGGTCTGGACGACTCGTGGTTTTTACCCTTGCATTGAGGGGTTTTCCACGTTAAAATTGTTGGTGTCTCTTTGTGCTTTGGATTCTATTTGTTTGGTGCTCCTCGCTGATTCTCGCAAGAAGGGGATTGAATTTCCGCTGCATTATTACTCTTTGTCAAGTTGTTATATTTGTTTTTTGGCCTTTTTTTTAAACCATCAGAGTGGTATCAGAGCTCTTAGGTTAAGGGACTGTTTAATTTGCGTGAATGATGGAGGCACATACAAAATTGATTCCGTTGAATGGAGAAAATTATCACTTATGGAAAGGCAAGATGAAGGATTTGTTATTTGTGAAAAATTTGCATCTTCCTGTTTTTGCTTCCAATAAGCCGGAATCCAAGTCGGATGAAGAATGGGATTTTGAACATCAACAGGTATGTGGATTTATCGAGCAGTTTGTTGATGATAATGTTTATAATTTTGTTGCTAATGAGACACATGCGAGAAGCCTATGGGATAAGCTTGAGTCCTTGTACGCTTCTAAGTCAGGGACTAATAAATTGTACTTGCTGAAAAATTTTGTGGAGTTGAAGTATAAGGAAGGAACTCATGTTTCAAATCACTTGAGTGAATTTCAAGGACGCTATGATCAATTAGCTGGAGTGGGTATAAAATTTGATGATGATCTATTGGGCTTATTCCTATTAAACTCTTTACCGGATTCGTGGGAGACATTTCGGGTTTCCATGATAAGTGCTACCCCTAATGGTGATATTTCTTTGCAAATGGCAAAGAGTGGTGCTCTTAATGAGGAGATGAGAAGGAAGACACAGGGTACTTCATCTCATTCGAAGTGCTTATTACAGTAGAATAGGGGGAGAAACCAAAAGAAAGAACAAAACAAGTGGTAGAGATAAAAGCAGGAGCAAGTCCAAGTCTCGGTACAAGAATGTGGAGTGTCACTATTGTCACAAAACAGGACATATAAAGAAAAACTGTTTTTTGTGGAAGAAAGAGAGCAAAGACAAAAAGGGTAAGCAAAGAGAAAAAGATAATGATGATGGTGATCGTGTTACTACTACTACATGTGGTGACCTTGTTTGTCTTCGTGATTATGACACTATTAGTCTTGTATCCGATGAGAGCATGTGGATAATTGATAAGTGGTGCTACACCGCATGTTACATCCAGGAAGGAGTTCTTCACATCTTATACACCTGGTGATTTTGGAGTATTGAAGATGGGTAATGATGGGGTGTCTAAAGTTGTTGGTGTTGGTGATGTTCACTTGCAAACCAACATGGGGATGCGATTGTTGCTTAGAGGAGTTAAACATGCTCCGGATGTTCGCTTTAACTTGATCTCCGTGCAGTGTACTTGATGATGGTGGATATTATAACCATTTTGGTTCTGGAAAGTGGAAGCTCACCAAAGGTAACTTGATTGTGGCTAAAGGGGAGAAAAACTCTAAGCTTTACTCGACAAAAGCTTTGGTTGCTAAAGATAGTGTGAATTCCGTATATATGGAGTCATCTTTGTGGCACTGTAAGGCTTGGGCACATCGCTGAAAAGGGGCTTAACCGCTTATTTAAAAAGGATGTTCTCTCGGGATTGAAGAATGTAGATTTGGAGAAATGTTCTCATTGCATGGTCGGTAAACAAACCAGAGTATCCTTCAAGAAGCATCCTCCCTCCAG